TTGCCGGCTGGGTGGGCTCAAACCATGACATGAAGTAAGCCTGGAGAAAGAATAGAAGCATCCCAAATCCCAGATCAACAGTCCAACCCCGATCAGGAGATTCAGCACCTTGCCACAGGATAGGACCTCCTAGACTACTGTCAATATATACCTTTTGGGAGAGCTTGTAAAAACTCTTCTCAAATGAGCCAACAGCCAAAATCCCTGATCAGGAACTTAAGTTCCCAGGTATCTTAAAGCCAAGGAAACGGTGCTTCACTGGCTGCTGGTTGGCTGGACTGTGTCGAGGTTTTTCCTAATCTTCCCAGTGAGGGATAATGTGTAAGGAGCCCAGGGAAGGCTCAGAGCAGAAGGAGAAGTGTCAGATGGGTTTGTCTTGTCATGCTTTGGTTGGAGATGTGGCTAGCCAAGGCTGGCCCTAGGCTGATGCGACCTTGGAGACTGCTGGAAGGGCAGACGGGGCTGGGCAGCCCTTGGGTCTCTGGTCACTGAGCGTATGAGTTGCTGGCAGAAAGCAGGAGGACTTTGAGGAAAGGACCCTAAAGGGCAAGGCAAGGAGGTCTCTAAAGCCAGAAGCTGCTGGCGTGAGAGAGGTCGGGAGGTGAGAAGCATGGCCAGTAGACCAGAGGCAGCACTGGGGGTTATTGGAGTTGTGACTTGTCTTCTGTGGTGTCACCTACCCAGGGGAGCTCCTCAAGGATGGCTTGGTTCATGGTGGAGAGTGGTCTCAGCCATGAGCACTGTCTGCTCTTGGGGTTTCCCTCACTGTGCATGAGTGCATAAAGCTCTTCAAACTGAAGCACTGGCCAGACACCATCGTTCCTCAGTCTTGTCCAAGCATTGTTTTAGTGAGGTGTCACATAGGCATGTGATTTTTTTTTAATAAATCAATAAATAAATTAGATTAAGTCTTCTCTGCCAGCCCTAGTGATCAGCGAGCAGCACTTGAGCTGCTACACCCATGGAGGAGGGCTGAGCGTCTGTGGTGCTTCTGAGACATCGTCAAACTGCCTCCAGCACAGACAGGGCTGCATGTCCCCCGTCTGCTCCATCAACAGCTGCTGCTGACATTTGAGTTGAACTCCTCCTGATCGGTATCTTGCTGCTGTCGTGTGGTTGAGCCAGAGAGGATTTCATTGCCTGTGGCTTCGGCAGATTCCTTTTCTCCTGTTAAAATGACCTTGTTTCTCAGTGGACACCTGCAGTTTGCACATTTCCCCCTTCTGTTGTGTTTTGTGTTTCTATCTTTTTATAATTCTGCAGAAAGTCAGTATAAAAAGGCCAGATCTTTTTATGTAGCAGCAGCTTCCATTTGCTTTTGGATTTTGTTGTTTGGGGATTATTTTTTTGGGAGAAGGAGAAACACAGCTGCTATTGCATGGTGGATGTGCCAGGTTTTAATAAGACTTCGTTGTCATTAGAGCAATGAAACTTCTTCTTTGCCAACAACCACTGACACAACCCACGTAGCTCCAACAAAAGCTCTGAGATGAAGCGGGCTGCCATTTCCTGCAGGTAAATCTGTGCTCCCCACTGCGGGCACTGAGTGCATTGCCTTCCAGTGTTGGCTGGGTGTTACTCTGGAGGTTTTGAACCTTTCCTTTCCCAGTCTTTCCCTCAGTGGTTTCATTTGTGTCTCTGCAGGATGGATGACATTCAGCTTTGTAAAGAAATCAGTCGGCTGAAAAAGGAGCTTCAAAAACTCATAGCTCTTCCAGGTAAGGCTTTGTAAAGCTTCAGAGAGCTGCACCCTGCTGCTGCAATTAGCAGAAAAGAAACACAAGAAGCTCTTGCGCGGCTCCCACTCTGGGATGCTCCCAGAGACACTGCTGCTGCAGGCAGTGCGTGAGAATCAAGAAGCATGTCTGCCTGTGTCTGACCTGAGATCTTTCTTGGGAGCTTTGCTGCTTGCAGTACTGCCAGGGAGTCCTTGTCAGCCCTGGGCTGAAGGGCAGAGGAAACAGAAAAGGAAAAAAAATATGAGTCTTTTGACGAAGTCTGGTACAGGAGGACAGGAGCTGAGTGACGTGGCAATGAATGCTGACACAGTGGGACCTGCCACGTACACCAAGGAGGATCCCCAAACAAGTCGAGAGGACAAGCAGGGCACATTGTCAGACCAAACCGTGGAGGGGCCCCTTTGGAGGCAGCAGGAACGGGGATGTGAAAAGGAATGCATTCTTGCTGTGGCCATGTCTGAACTGTGTGTCAGTGGTGGGGTGGATCGCAGCAGCTGCCAGGGAAGGATTCCTGGTTGCAGCCAGGGTAGGATGGGTGCTGGGGTAACGTCATGCACAAGGGGCTTGGTGATGTCCCTGATTTAGGTGAATTCATCATTCAGAATATTGAAAAGAGGCAAACAGTCCAGTGCAACATGTGTGAAAACTTCAGCTGGGAGGAAATGCTGCTTTTGACACGCCTCCTTACCGTGACTAGTGACCCTCCATGCCCCTGGCACAGCCGGAGCCACCTGGTCCCTTCATGGCCCAGGAAAGGCTGAACCTCATTTCTCTAAAGGATCCCCCTCAGCCAGAGTATTCAAATGAAAGCACACACAAACAGCTCAGCGTTTGAATGAGAATGGGCAAGAAAGGCTTCCCTGCAAGCTGTGTCCATCACTGTTCATAAGGCTCTGCCTCCTCCTAGGACATCCTTCTTCATCCCCCAGTAAGGATTTCATGTGCATTTTCAGAACCAGATGGGAGACATATCCCTGCTTATTTGTACCCACCCAAGCATTAACATTTGGACCTCACTTATTTCTACCACAAGTACCTCTCTGAAGATGCCGTGCTCGCTGAGACCAATGAGTGTGTAGCAGGGAGCGATGCCTGGATGCAGGCAAGGGACCAGCTGTGCACAGCTGTTTCCCAGAGCACCAGATCAGCTCATCGGTTCTGTACCCAAGGTTATCTCAAAGCTGAGAATGGCAAGAAACCTTGACCCTTTTTAATGCCGCAGTGTTGCTATGCTGTGTGTGCTTGTGAATATTCAGCGTGGAGTTAGAGCCCGACTGCTGCTTAATATGCAGGCCTTGATCAGTTTAATACAACCTGGCTGCATCCAGAGGAAGGTTCAGACAGGAGAGGGGAGGATTCTGCCATAAAAATGGGAGCTGCTTGCAAAACGTGGACCCAAATCTCATGTGGGCTTTTAATTCAAACACCTTCTAGTTCATAAAAAAAGACTTGATCTAAACGGTGGCTCAGGGCCAGAGACAAGCTTGGCCTTTTCTGAAGCTGGGGAAATGTGGCTGGCTTTCCTTTATCTGCTTTGGTCTTTCATTTCTAGCCTTTTCAGCATTCGCAGATTCAGCTGAGAGCAGAAATTCTGCTTGCATCAGGGATACTCTTTTTAAAGTCTTCTTTATAATTTGACTCACATCAGGCTGTGCCGGAAAAATCCTGCAAATCACTGATCTTGTGAGACTATTGCAGCAGATCATTTGTAAAAATGGGTGTTGAACTTTGGTTTGGATAGATTCAAACACACCAGTGCTTACTCAGAGCTCAGCCAGACCTGTGGCTTGAAATCTCAGCAGACCAAGGCACCTTTAATAATTCAGATATATCATGGTCATGATGGACTCTGACATCAGCAAGTTGGAAAAAAAAGGTGCAGTGTTTAAACAGTGGGCATGTTAATTCTGACATGCTCTAACTCAGGAATGCAGATTGTTAATTAACTCCAAAGAGCTGGTGTGTTTCTGTACAGCCTGATGTTTCTGATCTGCACGGCATCCGAATGACACTGTACAGTGCTCCTATTCCCACCAGGCAGGTGGGAGCTGCTGCACAAACAGTGCCTGTGGCCAGGTGGCTTTTCATTAAGTCTTTGTGGTTACAGCAACTGTGGCCCAGACCTCAGTCCAGATCAGCTTTCTCTGCCAGAAAGCTGGAGCTCGCTACCTGCATGAGACCACAATTGTAGGAGAAACCTTTGTTTGCTGGGGATGTTTCTAACAACATGATGCTTATGAGAAGTTCCTCCTACTCAGATGCCTGCAGCAGCACCTCCGATCAATATATAGCAGACTTTAAATTACAAATCAATACATAGTTTAGGTAACTGCTGAGACCTCGCCTACAGGGTTTGCTCCATACTGTGAGTTTTGCTGCATTTTTATTTAGCTGAAGGAAGACTGGAGATTGATCCATCCTGTGCTGGAGTGATTTTGGAGCTGGGGCTGAATTTGGAAATGGTGTTAACTAGCTGCAGCACAGAGAGTCATAGTTTCCAGCTAAGGTAGCTCTCCATTTATATTTAACACTCCTTAGCCCTATCTCTATCATTTTCGCCTATCCCACTTACCATTATGTACCAATTTATATAGGACATGACTTCATGGTGTTATGAGAGTTTTCCAGGTCTTCTCTAACTCACTGCCCAAAGATATGTGGCACAAGTGGGTCCCACCATGTTCAAGGTAGGTCAGTCTGGGAGTTCAAGTGACAACCAAGGCTAACGCATTCAAAACAGCCTGGCAGACATTTGTGGTCATCTTTGTCACTGGGGTGGGAATGGGGCTGACAGTGGTTTGAAGGGTCAGAAGTAGAGGATGAGATCACTGCGTCTGTGTTCAGCAAGGCAATAAGGCTACAAAACCGGTGGATCGTATTGGTTTTCGTGTCTCTCTATGTATGAGATAAATGGTGGTGTGAGGTGTTCCCAAGGCATCCAGGCATTCTTGGTAATTCCCTATACACCTGCATCCCTGGCTGGTTTCTCAGCCATATGGAGGACTTGGCTCAGAGGTCTCTGAACCCCTCAGCTCAGGGCCAAGCTGAGACTGGATGAGTATGCTGGCATGCGAAATGTGGTTTAAGCATGTCCTGGCTGAAGGATGTCGTCTGACTGACGTGTCTGAGCTCACTGAGACCCCGTACCCAGCCTCTTCAGCAGTGCAGGGTGAAGGCCCCAGGGGAGCCATGGTGGTCTCCCGCCAGAGAGGTCACTTTGTTGAGGGGCCCTTTCTCTGCTCTGCAAAGCTCTCAGTTGAGTCTTGCAGTGCTCAGCCCCATGAAAATTTTGGGGAGAAGCTAAAAAAGTTTCATGACATCAGACATGTCTTTTCCCAACCAGAGTGGTTTGGGATGAGGTTGTTGCTTATTTAGCAGCCTGTATCTGGATTCAGGTGCGTTATTTGAGTTTGCTTTTAACCCCACTCTCATATCTGCTCCTGGGTCAAGCAGAAGCAGATCAAGCTTGGCCTTGGCATGGGTGGGATGGCCCCTGTTGGTGTGTTAAATGTGTTCCCTGTGCTGCAGAGAACGAGAAGTCCAACGAGGAGAAGCAGAGGGAAGAGGAGCTGGTACAGCAGATACATAAGCTGGTGGAAACACGGGATTTCCTGGTGGATGATGTGGAGTTTGAGAGGCTCAGGTAGCTGGGTGCAATTTATTCCTTGCACTGAGGACAGTGCAGTCTGTCCTCTGATCTGTATCATGCCTTGCCAGATGCTCCTGGATGCCTTGCTGCTCCTTTCCTGAGTAGTAACCAATCTCTTTGTCACAGGGAAAGGGAAGAAGACAAGGAAATGGCAGAGTTCCTGCAAAGTAAGCTCACCAAAAGTTACCTCCAGAAAGCAAGTAGGTGGTTGATGAGTTTTGTTCCTTGTATCCAACCTCCCTGGCAGTTTCTCCCCTTTCCTAAGCACGCTATATCCAAGATTTCATTGCTTTGCATGGGGCTAGCTTACCTGGAGGCCATCTGTTGCTGGAGGAGGGTGTGCAGAAATGGCAACTGGGGGATGCTAGTGCTTGAGATCACATTAGGGAAGCATCCCAAATCAGTACAGATGTTATGCTTCCGTTTCCCTCCTGGCATTTCCCAGCCACCATGTCCTATGAGAATGGGGATAAGTAGGTGTCTTTTATGGCTGATATACTTCATCTGACCCTTTCCAAACAGCTCCTTACATTTCATCACACCATTACTTAGGGTCACAAGTTACGGTATCCATCTAGTCCTCCTGTTTTCATGGCCTCTGATGGCAGGCCATCCTCTTCCCAGTATCTCCATCATTGCTGGAGGAACACCTCCCCAGCACAGTAGGAGGCGTGTCCAGCTCAGGGTCCCTGTGCCTGTGTCCTGCCTGTGGACACCCACGGAGCACACATGGTGATGTGCCTCTTGGATGCATGCCCAGCTGTGGGTCTGAGGAGGGTCAGCACCTTAGCCCTGAAGGGAGCTCTAAGAAGAAGCGATGGGCCTGTGCCCATATCACCAGGCAGACACCGATTCCTCTTTCCATAGCTCCTGTCAAAGAGAAGAAAATGACTTCCAGGGGGCAGCAAACTTCCGCACCGTACATGACCAAAACAGGCCTCACCCTGCTCAAGGAGTGCTGTGGCTTCACCTGCTCCATCATGTAGGCCAGCCCGCAGCTCCTCTGCACAGGACATGGCCATGGTAGCGTACACGTCCCGGGAAGCTGGGCCGGGCAAGAGGGGCTTCCTCGGTGTGCTGAAACGGCCGAGTGCCTGTGCGGGGTGGGTGAGGGTCAATGTCAGGGACACGCACAGCTCCTGGTGCTGCAGGCGTGGGGCGTGAGGGACCACCAGGCTGCAGCCCTGCTCCGGAGGGGCTGCCATCGGGGAAAAGTGCTGGAGCCCTGCTGACTCCTGAGAGAAGGGCTGGAAGGGAAACAGCAGTGGTCGTGGCTGGGAAGAGGATGAGGAGATGGAGGCAGTTGGGTGGAGGGTGAAGAGAGATGGAGGGCAGGGAGGAGTGGGGCCAGGCACACTGCAGGTAGCACAGCCCTGGCACCAAGGCATCTCCTTGTAAGCACGTGCAAGACGTGTCAGTCAAATGTACCACTGTTGTGCATACCTGGTGCTCATGGAGTTACACCACCAATGCCTTTGACTTCTCATAATATCTCCTCTGAAAACCTAAGAAGCCATCAGGGCTTTCTTGAGGGTCCTCACATGCCTTCTCACGTGCCTTCTCCCACTTCCTCCTTTTCAGCAGGTTGCAGTTAAATCACTGGCATCTGCTGACAGCCACAGGTGCCCAGCTGTAAAGTGATGCACCCATTACCTTTAAAACAGAGTTTACTAAGGGCCAGGCTGTGTCAGTTGTACAGGACTATCCTCTGGCTGCCGAGGGGCAACCAGACAGTCCCCATCCATCTGCCAGTGGTTCAGGACATCAACTCATTCTAAACATTGTCACTTTGTAGAAGTCTCAGGGAGTGGCAGATCCATAGAGAGGTGCGTCTTGCCAGTGCAGCCTAGTATGGACTGCCCCACCTTATCCCAGGAGGAGGCTGAAGCAACCAGGCTCACAGAGGTGGGTGGTTGGATCCCCACTGGACCAGCTCCGTGTGGCTCAAGCTCCCTCCCTGCTCTTAGGCCTATTCATGACACTGCTCCACAGCACATGCTGCCAGAATTGGTGTTTGCAGGGTGCAGATAAGTCAAGTAGGGGCTGAACTGGTGATAGCTGGTGAGCTGAGCTCAGTCCTGCCAGAGCGTTGTGAGGACACAGGTGAAGCAAATCACAGCTGAGCTGAAGTTATGTCTATGAGGATGTGCTTTAAAACAGTTGAAATGAAATTCTGCACTCCAACACCACAAATCTGAGTCCAGACCTTACAGGGCAGTTGGCAAGGAGGTGAAACCACCTGCCCGCTGAGCTCCCACCTTCCTCCATGCCTGGGCTTCACCCAGTAAGTGATGAGCATGGCCAAAGCTGCGTGCTAGGTCCCGCCTGACAGCGTGTGTGACAAGCACTGTGTGAGAGGAAGATGATGGTAATGGAGGTCCAGTGGGTTGTAGTCTCTGTGGGAGGATATATATCTCATCCTTAATATTGCTGGAGACTTCCATTGTGGCAGGTGGCCTGAAACCCAAGAGTAAGTCTCATTGGCATTAGGCACTCTATAAAGCAGGGTTGGCTCTTCAGCCATTGGAGAAGAGAGGCACCAAGGGAATCCCATGGTTGCAACCCATAGTTTCCTATCTCTTGCCTTTCCTCCCTAGGTCTCCAGCCAGAGTCCACAATCTGCTCTTCTCCGAGAGTGTCAACTTCCTGTCATTGTTCATGCGTCTCACTGCAGCACCATCACCAAAGAGACTTCCCAAGCAGGCTGGTGCAAGCTTGAATGATGGCATGTGTCCTTGGTGCCACATCAATGGTCATCTCCTCCATGACATCAACAAACACCAAATTCCACCTGAGCTCAGCTTGGAAGAGGTGTGTGCAGCAGCAGCAAGTGAGTCCATGACAAAAGAGGACCAGTGCAGTGCTTCACCTGGACAGAGTAATAAAAAAAAGCACTGGGAGCTAATGTTTGGAGAACACTGTGCTCCACCATCCAAGACATGCTGTGGCCACAGATGATGTCTCATCCTTAGCCTTGTACCACCTTGTGAGTCTCTATGGGATGACTCCTGAGGATTCTTGGTGGGGAATGTGTCTAGTCTGGGGTTTGTTGTGTTGGCATCAGTTTTATTGCAAGGTGTTCTGTGGCTCTGGGTAGAGCTGAGCAAAACGTGAAGGGCAGTCCCCAGAGCTGGCTGAATGAAGGGCTAATTCTTGTGAAGTTATCACCTGAGCACAGACCTGATGTGTTGAACTATGGGCAGTTAAGTTGCTTTCCCCACCTCACTATTACTGGATTCATTTTTCAGCTTCAAGTAAAAGGAGGAAATTAGAGCAAAAGAGAAAAGGAGAAAAATTCAGAAGAACAGGGCAACATACAGAAGGAGATGAAAACCAAACAGGAGACTGGAAAAGTGGCACGGGAAGGTGGAGACAGCAGGTGAGAGACACTCTCGCTGCCAAGAGGGCATTCAGCCCTGCCCTCCGGTGCCCCAGCCAGCACCTCTGGGCTTGGCACCGTGAGCTGGACATAAAGTCCTGTGCAAAAGACTCATAGCACCCTGAAGTCACCCAGTGTCTCGGGTCCTTCCTGAGCATCCACCTGTGTTGAGGTGGCACAGCCAGAGCTGCTAATGCCCATCAGGGCAGGGCAGGGGCTGTCTTTCTCACTGGGTGTGAAGCCCCTTCCCTTCTCCTGCCCTGCCTACCCTGTAGGCTGCTATGGGTTCACCGGGTGTCCTGGGGTGGCCTCTCATTTGGGTGGCTGCCCAAGAGCTCTGGCTGCCATCTGGCCAAAATGCTGATTCCTCCAGCTCGGTCCTGCTGCAACTTGCTGTAGGCTCTTGAGATGGTGTTCCTGCCTGGGTCACTGTCGGATGTGCCCATGCCAGTGAGATGGTCACAACACATTTGGCTCTTTCCATTGCACCTAACAGCACATCCGTCCTTGTAAATCACAATGCAGGTGGGAACCTTCCTAGTGCAATGCCATAAGCAGGTCCAAGTTTCTCCTGCCAAGTTTATCAACATTGCCAGAAAATGCAGTGTGTGGGAACCTGTTCTCTAATCTTTGCAAGGGGGTTTTCACTCACTTGTTCCTGAGCAATCTCCTCCCCATATGGATCTTACCAGCAGCCAGAAAAGTCCACAAACTAAACCAGTCCCTCTGCACACTCACAGACCAGGGTGCAACGCCCAAATGGGCTGAATGACACCTGGTCATCTCTAGCAAACTTGACCCTGCTTTGGTTCGTGTCACCTCTGAGTTGACTTCAGTTGTCTCAGTCTGAAGCCTGCTTACTTTGTGCTGCTTATGTTAATGTCCTACAGCATCCTACAACCACCACTTGTCAGTTCCTGGCGTTCTTGTTTGGGAAGGCTTCAGCGTGGGGGTGGAGGGAGCACCCTGTAGATCACAGGGGCAAATTCAGTCATAGAGAGTTCCTCTCTTCTTTGCCACTCCTGTGTGATGGAGTGAGGTGCAGTACACAGTTGGGGCTGTTGTCCAAGCAGGGGTGACAGGCCATCATCGGTAGCATCCGTCCTGGAGTTGATGGGATAGATTGGGTCACTTGCTTCCAGAAACTGTCCAGTGGCTGGCTTTGCTCCGTCACTCTGCAGTCATACATGTGGTGCAATACGTGTGTTTTCTTTGATCCACTTATCCCAAAGGCTCAAGACCTAGAAGGCCTCCCTCACTGTCCTTGCTTTCCCCAAAGTCTTCTTGGGAAGGGTAAGTAACTAAGCCAGTTTGTTTGGCTGAACCGAGAGGGAGCCAAAGGCAAGGAAGAGCCCTTGATTCAAAACTTGCTCCCCTAATTCATCCCTACCTCCACCCAACGAGGCCCTGAGACCCAGACTGCAGCTGCTGAGCAGTGCTTGGGCAGGGAGGGAGGATGGCCGGAGGGGAGATGGGCAAGGTCCTGGCCTGTTTTGTTCTGTGTTTGCTGTCTGTGTTTGTGTGGCTGGTCATGGAGAAGGAGACAGGCTGCGGTCCCGGTCATGTGGTACTATTTGGCATCTTTTTTAACTGATGGCAAAGGTGTGCAGCACACAGGAGCGACACTGTTTCATGTGCATTGATTTCAACCCAAACAAATAAATGTCTGTTGGAAGCTTGGTTCGTAGATATTTCCCCCACCTGGGACCTTTGCAGAGAGATGTCTCAGGCTGCGTCACAGCAGGGTGGTTAAGTGTAATAGAAACAAGATCCTAAAAAGTCAGGCTGGACTTTGGAGTTCACTGGTATTGCAGGAGTACAGGGCAGCTCCTGCTGCTTGCAGCAAGATATCCAACCCTTCAATTTCTGGCTCTTGACCTAACATTTCACTTTTGGGCCAGGCAACTGCCTCCCTGGGTTAATATCCTTTAATGCTCAGAGCTCTGAACTCTTTTGATATATTTGTTCACTGATAACAGCCTTCTGTCCTCACCAAGCCTCAATGGTACCGTTTATAAAGAGATTGTGGAACATGAAGTGTCTTCTACATGTGGCACTTTGCTTAATGGAGCACTGAAGGGCGTCTGGCTTCACCATCTCTTTTCCTGGCCACCCAACTCTCCCCTTCCTGTATCCCACACCCCAGGTGCTCTCAGGAGGAGGAACAGGACTGGCAGGCCTGCAAACTGTAGGGTCTCATGGTTTTTGGTGTTTCCTGTCCTTGGGGCAGGTGATTAAAGAGCATATGAGAAACACCTCATGGTGGACATGCTGGAGAAGACAGGGAGGTGGGAGATGGGCTGAGTAGGAGCAGAGAGGCAGGACAGAGTCTGCGCTTCACTGGGTCTTATCAGTTGTGTAGGACCAAGGGTGCTTGCAGTCACTCACAGATGCAATGTGCTCTTATGCCAGTGACTGCTGGGAGGGGACCAGAACCTCTGGCACCCGCATCCTCTCTTGGATCAGGTGGCTGGAAACTGCATGTGCAAAACCAATGCTCTAATTCTGGTTTAATGACTTGCATGTCTTTGCCCTCTGGCACCCAATGGTGCTCGCCATGCCAAGTCCTGGGTAAGTGCTAATCACGGAGTTAACAAGCCAGCAATG